GCGGGCGCGGGCGGCGGGGACTCGGCGGGCCAGGCGGCGGAGAGCAGCGGCGACGAGGAGGACGCCTTCGAGGCGGCCAAGGGCGGGAAGCTGAAGGCGGGCGCGCTGGGCAAGAAGGCCAAGGAGCCGCGCTCGCTGCGCCTCAGCATCAACGCGCGCGAGCGGCGCCGCATGCACGACCTGAACGACGCGCTGGACGGGCTGCGCTCCGTCATCCCCTACGCGCACAGCCCCTCGGTGCGCAAGCTCTCCAAGATCGCCACGCTGCTGCTGGCCAAGAACTACATCCTCATGCAGGCGCAGGCCCTGGAGGAGATGCGGCGCCTGGTGGCCTACCTGAACCAGGGCCAGGCGCTGGGCGCCCCCCTGGCCCCCTTCGGACAGTCCGCCGTCTCCCCCTTCGCCGGCTCCGCCGTGCCCGCCTGCCCCGACAAGTGCGGCGCCTTCGCCGGCGCCTCCGCGCTCTGCAAGCACTGCGGCGACAAGCCCTGACCGCGCCGCCCTCGCCCTCGCCCTCGCCCCCGCCGCGGGGGGACTCGTCTCCTCTCTCCCTCGGCCGCCAGACCCCGGCAAGCCGTCCGCCCGCTGTCACTCCGCCGCCTCCGGACCCCCTCCGCCCCGGCCCAACTCTTCCACGGATGGGCCTCACCGCCGCCCGGGCCCCGGGCCCGGAGCAGGATCAGCCGGGGGTTAAGCGGAGATGGTTCCTCTCCGACTGGTCAACGGGAAAGGGGGAGGGTGGAGGGCTTCATCCATAGCGAGAACTGAGAGCACCCAGGCTTTTTCGGGGTGGCGGGGAGGGAGAGGGTGCTGGTAAAACTGTGGATGCTTCTTTTTCCTTTTTTAAGTTGAGGACCCGCGATTGGACTGATGGAGTATTTGATTGTACACTGTTGCCTGCTCTTTTGCCTGTTTCTCAACTTGAGTTTTTTTTCCAGATGGTTTTCCAAAGTCATTACTCACCAGGGCAAACAAAACAAAAGAGAAAGTTGCTCTACATATTTCTATGTATTTATAACTGAATAAAAGACATGAATAATCTTTTTTTTTTTTTTCCTCTGTCCTACATCTCTCTGAGCCAGCATTTTGCACAAGGGCAGTAAAGGGTGTGGGAAGCTGCTCGATAGCATCCTCCGGAGAGGCTGACACTGGTGGGAGTTAGGTAGAGTTGCTTCCAAGTCTGCAAGGTCGATCCGTCTATCGTTCTGGCTTGTCACGTACATCTTGATTTTGAAAACAGTGGCTTCCCGGTGTCATTTGGAGTGAAGCTGGGGACAGGACAGTTTTTGTTCTTGGCTTTCAATAGCTGATTGTAGCATCCTTTGCCCTCAAAACTTCAGCTGTATTAAAAATTGCGGGGCGGGGGGGTAGCTTTTCACAGTGGGTAGATTAATCTAAGTACAGCCTGGCAGGGAAGGAGATAGCTGCTCTCTTTGCTTTGTTTTCTATGGTGTATCCGCATCCTGATCCCACAGTTTTGTGCAGCGCTCGAGCCATCAAGTTCTCTCTAAAATTGTCAAGCGTTGAGAGATGCACATCGGTCCAAGTTATCCAGTGATCTCTTAGGTAGTGCCTAAGGTAGTCCTGGCTTTATTCTTTTTCTTGTCTTTTTTTTTTTTTCCAAATGCTTTGGTGCCTTGTATGCTTCACTGCTCGTTAGATAATAATAATTGAGATGCGTTCTGTGATTTGTGTTCAGATAGGAATATTCGCCACCCAATGTCAGAGCTACCATGTAAACTGGTACAGCAGCAGCCCGAGGGGCTAGACCTGTCTCTGGCCATTTGTGTTAAGACTAGGGTGTAACTATTTAGGGTTATTAAACCAATTTCCATGCCTGTCGCTAGTGTTATGCTAATTTGAAGAGGACTGCAGCCCCCTCAAATCTGCTTGCCTGTAGTATTTAATTTTAATTAATACATTTCCGAAAGACTTTTTGTGTTTGCAAAATGAAGTGTGTGATTAAACCTCCTTCATAAAGGCATATGCTTTAAACCTAGTTTCGACTCATTTCCATTTTCATTTCTTCATTTCCCTCTTCTTTTTCCCCCTCTTCAGAGGCCTGGTTTATCTGCTGTACGTGTTTTACAGAAAGGATGAGTCTCAAAAGTATTCTTGGAATGCGTCTGACAAAATTGAAGGCAGGAAAAGCCACTGCAGAGGCAAAAGTAACTGGAAAATGCAAATCAGCAAAGATCGTTTTAAATTCTGCAGGCTGACACAGTGCCAGAAATTATTTTGAACAAAGGTTCAATTTAACGCTAAATCGTGATTGTACGATAAACATTTATTAATTCTGGCTGAAAGCATTGGAAATGGAGTCGTTGGGGTTATTTAAATGTTGACTACTTTAATTGTTCTGTTTCCACTCGCATGCAAATGGTTGCAGAATAAAGTATTTAAGGGTTTAATGTGAAAAACAAGTTTGGATTGAATCCTGCGCTGAGAACAGGTTTTGAATGAGTTGTGTTCATGCCCAAAAGGATAACAGTGGAATTTCAAACACTTGTGCTGAAGGAAATTTTATGTGGGGTATATACATTTGCTTGAAGAATCATCTAAGTATTTTTACAATCCTGAATATTAAAAACCATTGTAAAATTCCCCACATTTCTGCTAGAGTAACCCATGAAATGTTACTAAAAGTACACGTGAGAAACTCAGCTTCCAAAAGTAAGTTTGCCTATCTATAACCCTTTTCTCCCAGACACTCAGCAACAGAGTAACGCTGATCTAAATTAACTGGAGCTGTTCACTAGGGCTAGACACTGGGGTTAGTTGTTTCCAGCTAAGAGGGAGCATTACTGAAACTTTTATATTAGCAAACAGCTGGAAACACATTTTGTGAACCCTTCTTCCGTTTTCTTAACCAAAAAAGTGTCCATTTGGGTTGCCTTTATTTCTTCTATTGGTACTGCCACTAAACCCTAGATGAACGTAATACTATATGAAAGAAGCAGATTTCTGTCCACACTTGCCTCAGAATATCAAATGCTAGAAAATAGTTCAAATTCTATTTCATGATCCACATGAGAATATCAACTGCTGCTTTTAGCAATTGTTTTAGGAGTTGTAAAACAAGGACTTCAATATTTGTAGTGTTTTTTTCTATTACAATACTCTGGCCCTTTTATCTGGCCATGCCTTTTTTTAATAGCACTTTGACTCTGCTCGAAAGGTATTGCAGTGCAGTTTCTGTGTCTTAATTACCATTGTCTTTCTACTTGATTTCATAGCAAACACAGTGAACACCAGTTTGAAAGATGTGATAGTGGTTTTTAACCTCCTTACTTTTTTTCAAACTTTTACGAATGGACTGAGTGAAATACCTTTAGAAAGACAAAGCAAAGAGGGAAACAGTCCTCAAGTGTCTGTCACTTGGAAGATATCATTGTAGCCACTAATCAAAAGTACTGCTTTTCTAATCAATATAATCTTATTAACAGTGTGTAGGAAACAGTTGTGCATTTGCATTGCTAATGTCAAATCTCTGCTGATGCATTTTGCAGCTTGCAAGATAAAACTTGATTAACCAAATACAGGAAAGCAACAGGTTTGAAGATGGCAAGTTCAGAATACTGCAGTCCACTTGTAGTATCAATTACAACTTACCGAATGTAGCGAAGGTAATGATGTCTTTTATTACGCTTTAATCTGAACTATCCTGGTTTCTGATAGACACCAGACAATGTTCTGTATTGTTGATCATCTCTCTGTGATTTCCCAAAGCAACTAGGCGCATCACATTTTAAGGTATAATTCTAGATGTTCATCTGTTTGACTCTTTATGTGTAAATTTCCATGATTTAAATGTGAATAGAATGAACGTGAGGGTGCAGTGGATGCCGGATCTAATCCTGCTGTCACTGAAATACAGTGGGTGTCAGGACCCCTCTTGACTTGAATGGCAGCGGTAATAGGCCCAGTGCTCTGTAGCCCTCAACAGGTGCCTGAAAAGCACTGGAAGTCATGCTATGGGTGAGAGAGTAGGAAGAAATGAGACAATCTATTTGTGACATTTTAGTCCTCTGTTTCAGACCTGTCTGAGGGCTGCAAAACGCATGAACCACTGTTAGATGCAGGCCTCAGAATAATGCCCCCATATGCTTCCTTTGCCCAAGCCCAGTTATCCTCACATCTACAGTGGTCATGCAGTTGTTCATTTGCTGGAAGCTAAGACACCCCAGGGTATGATGTTCTGGACAGTAAGTTTCTGGTTTAACTTTCCAAAACCCCGCCTATTTCAACAGTCCTGTCATGAGGCCAGAACTGAGCATTCAGTGTTACGAATGCAAAACTAGTACACAGCACAACACTTAATAGAGAGTAAAGCACTAAGATGCCAAGGTTAAAACATTGTACTTAATACAATTTCATTATTAATGTCAATACCAAAGACAATAATGAGTAACTTGTCCAAATATTTGTCTCCTTTATATATATTTAGTCACTTAAAACGCAGTGCTACTGTAGTGGTTTAAGGGGGATATCCAGGTTCATCAGAAATGCACTGAGTTAGCTTTGCCAAATGAAACATGATTATATAGTTACCATTAAAATAACATGGACTTGCACACAATCTACAATCAAATTTCTACTGGCATTATTCCAAAAGTAAAAGGTTTGGTTTTACAGTATTATTTAAACTAATATGTATTATTTTTACATGTGTTTTGTTGCCAAAAATCTAATTTTACAGTATATGAAACATTAGAAGTGCAGTTTGATCCCAAGTTAGTGCAAATATTTTTTAAAACAGCAGCGTAATGCACAAAATAATTTTAATTAAAAGATCTGCTTTTGCTCCACTGCTGTTTTGATTGGTATTACAAAACAGAAATGTGGTTTTTTTTCTTTCTAAATCCTGATTAATGCAGAAAAGACTCTGATTATAGTAATTTTGATAATGTAAATTTGTTTGTGATATGTCTTTAGTATTTAATCCCCTTTGGCATCTCATTCAAAGAGAGATGAAAAATTGAGGGATTTATGATGTTTCAAATCAGCCTTCCCATGAAGCCTTCTCACTGAGTTCCTTTTTGTATCTGAAATATCTTATTCTCCATTTAAATATAACTAAATACTTTCCTAACAAATTAGAAATATATGCTTGCCTGTATTTGAAAACTACATATATTTTGCAGCAACTAGAATAATCTTTTCTTATTAAATTGACATAGTCTTAAAAGCAACCAATGAGCAAAGTGAGAAATCCTATACAGCTTGTTGATTTTTTTTTTTTTTTACACCTGTATTTGAGATCTATGTAATTCACTAACAGAAATAGCAAAATAAGATTTTTCACTATGATCTTAATTTTAAAGAAGACCTAAATATTTTTAGTGATGTTTTAAAGCTTGTTAAAATTAACTTTCTGAAAATCTCTGGTTCGCACTTGTATTTCTAACTATATTATGATTTTAGAGTTATCCAGTTGAATCATCAAAATACGCCTAACCAGATCTACATTTGGTAAAATGTAATGTTTATCTCAAGCAGTGTGTTTTACAAGTCCTAGTTG